ATTGCTCTGCACAGATCAGTGAACGAATCATACACTGCTCCAAAAAAAAAAAAAAAAAAAAAATGTTCTAAGCTGAACATGTCTAAATATAACTCTTACACTTCATGGAAACACAACTATATTGGATGATTAGATCTTAAGAAAAGGCAAGGTTTAGCTTGTAAGGAGAGAAAGATATGCCATCCTTTTGAAAACTAGACACTTGAACCCACATCAATTTGTGTGCAAAGAGAGAGCGCAACTTGATCCGTTTGGTGTTTTGACAAAGAATGCAGTAAACGTTCAATACTGGACTTTTGCATCCATTTAAGCTAATACAGTGTCTTATTTCTATCAAGTAAATCACTGTGTCTTCAGCATTTTCCATCTTGTATAGAAGTAAACTTTAGGATCAACTTGGAGGTTGAATCAATCTGCTATTTATTACCTTGAAATGTGACACGCCACTTAAGTGCCCTATTCCCTTATGGTTTAAGTTGAGTACTGCATTATGTCCAAACCATTAAGAACCTAGAATTATTCCCTGTGTATCCTTCAGACTTGAAGAATTTACATTCTTATAAAATGCAATGTATCCATGTTATTACTTCCAAAGTCTTTGAAATGCACAGATAGACGAATAACGAAGGCCGATTACATATTGCGGTTTCTTGACATTTGATTATATGATAGCTTGCTTTTTAAATGGAAATCTTTATGGCCATCTGAAGGGAATTTTCATGAAAAAAAAAAAAAAATTGGACCACTTTGTCAAAAACATGAACAAAACTTTATGGAACTCAATAGAATGTGACTATTACATTTTTCATATTTAGTATTAGAATTACTCTAGCATTGCCTTGACATATACTGATAAAAACCTAATGTTATTGCATATCTTGCTCAAAAAAGACTACTTATTCAACAGTGTAATAAAAGAACATAGAGATAATAAGTAGACCTCTGACTACTAGATTTGGTGCATAAAGAGTAAAATAAACCATTACTAGTCGTACAATAATTACACAAATCATTACATACATATCATAAAAATATACATAAATAACCTTATCAAAAATCCAATATTAGTTTTTTTTGTTTTTTTCTTAATTTGTATGTGTGTTTCTAATTTGACAGCTTATCAATAATCAAGGTATCACAATGTTGGAATATTATCTGTTGTGTCTAGCATTTTAACCAGATGAAAGATCTTTATCAGTCTCTTTTTAAAACTTCTATCCAGAATATTAGTAGCAGGAGTAAGTAGGTTTGTGAAAAAGCACTCATTTAATTCTTATCAGTATAAACAAAAGAACCCTCTTCTGAGATCTACAGCAGCACAGTACGAATAAATAACTAGCAACACAACTTGTTCTGTTACTCAAACTTACAATAAAAGTAAACCAGGCAACATGTCGACACATTTTTTTGTGTCTACACCATGCCTAGGAAAGAAACATTATACAAGTTGTAACTTGGCCAAGTGCACTTTGTTGGGAGACTGAATTATTTTCATTCAAAGAAAAAGCAATGCTGTTGGGTTTTTATTTATCGTGATCACAAGGTAGTACCCATTCCTTTACACCTGCAACAATTACAAGAGAGCCTTGTTAATAACAGAAGATACACTTAATTAATAATTAACCAACTCTCCAACTCTACCTTAGGTTTCCTGATTCACAGAGGTCTCCAGAACTGATGATGTTCTAGGAGCATAATTCATTATATATAAATATAAAATTAAGTATAATGAAGTATATTGAAGTGTGCATCTAGAACATCATCAGATTTATTCCATTATCAATATATATATTTAAATATATATTTGTGTTTTGGGCACAAAGGCCGAAAAGAGTGAGTTAGAGTAACACAGAACGGCAAAAATCAGTTGTGGTGTGCCGGAAACTACGAGGCGGTAGGCCTGTAAATAAAGAGGGCTCACCCTTAAGGTGTATAAAGATATATTGAGTGAATAGAGGGAGTGGAGGGAAGGGACATGCAAATTGTCAGACCAGTAACTGTACTGGGGAAGGTGTGGAGTCCCTTAAAAAATGCAATTAAGCCCCTCCCACAACTCCAGGCAAAGCCTTAACATATATATATTGTGACAGAAAGCAAGGAATTGTGCTGGAAGGAACCTATATACCTCCCCAGATTTTGCAAGGTTCTTACTTTGTGTAATTAGCCCCAGGGAAATGTGTTATGTTCTAATGAATGTTGCACTTTAAATATGTGTATATTTGGGCCCTGGGGTGGAGCACCTGGAGAGTAGGGTGGGCCAGTGCTCCACTCCACATTTTGGAAGTTGCTTGGTGAGAAGTCCAGTTCTGGAGTTTGAATCCTAATCTAACACACCTGAAAAGGATTGTCAATTATCAGTGCTATTAAGTACTCCCCTACCAAGGAAGAAGGGAGATTGTGTTTGGTTTCTGTGAGTGGAAACAGAGAGCTGAAAACCCTGAAGCAGTAAGGCTGTTTATGTTTATGTTTATGTTTATGTTGGGAAATGGACAAGCCATCCAACCCAGTTAGCTGATTATTTTGTTTAGTTAGTGCTCAGAAGAGCAAGGCTTTTGTTTGATATATTTTTGTTACCTTTATACCTTACTGTGCATTTATTTTGGAACCCAATAAAAGAGCAAGTCAGTTTACCTCATCCAGCGTGTGAAGTGTCTTTAAAGCCTGAAAAGACTGTGTGTAACACCCCAATCCCAGGACAAGGTACCAAGGGAAAGGAGTACTTTTGTCACAATATATATACATACATACATACATACATACAATATACATATTAGGGAAACAAATGCCAATACCATATACATACTCCAACAGAAAGGTGAAAAGAATTTGTATAAAACATGCATATTGTGGGAATTATAAATCAATGGTACTGTTTTCACATGAACCTTTCAATACTTGGTGTTTTAATCTTCCTGGAAAATACAGATGAAGAGTATGATATGAGGTGGTTGGTAAACTATGCTGACTTGTGTTTATGAGTAGTCCATTACACTAATAGTTCTCCATTAGAGTGAAACAATTTTACTGCACAATCATGCTTTCTGTGCATTTCATGATGTCTTAAATAACAGCAAACATTTAACCAATATACATGTCCTGCAAATTACATTCATCATCCAACCAACTTCATATATCACTGTACAAAATGTTCAGATATTTGTTTTACTGGAATAAATAAATCAGTACTTTGCATCTCAAAGGCTTCTGGGAATAGTGGTAACTTTATCTCATTTCCATTTATGTTTTCAGAAAAAAAAAAAAAAAACCTCATAGGTGGTCTTTGTGTAAATAATTTCACTACATTTAAGGAAGTTATTTATAAAAAGTATGACAAATTTGTTACTGTCAAAACTGTGAAGTTAACTTGGTATATTAAAGTATCCCATGGTCAGCAACCTTCCGAGACTGCAACATTTGTCGGAGCAGTACATTCTCAACATTGGTTCAAACATGTTTAATGTCTGTTGCACAGAGAAGGCAAAGAATCCCTCTATGCACATGTTTTAAATAAAAATGTTGTGATGGGCCACAACATTAAAACCACCTGCCTAATATTGTGTAGGTCTATCTCGTGCTGTCAAAACATCTATGAGGTAAGACTTCTGAAAGTGTCCTGTGGTTTCTGGCACCAATACATTTAGCAGTAAGTAAATATATATATATATATATATATATATATATTTAAAAGTTTTTATTCTCTTTTTGCAAATGATAACAGAAAGATTTGAAACATAAGTCAAAAGCATAATACAGTTTGAGTAACTGTCTTGCAAAGAGGACAATGGAGCATATACATTCAATGGACCATATGAAGAATTTCCTTACATAGATAACAATAGAGCATAGTCAATCAGATATATGCGTTCACCGCCTGGATAAGAAGGGTTAGCCAAGGTAAACTCCTAGACCACTACATTCGAACAATGTTTCACTTTGTTACTGACTTATGGTAGAAAGGACATAGAATAAATGAAAAAAAGAAAAAGGTGTCACAGGAATACCCAACTGGTGAAGGCCTAACCCTAGTTTAAATACAGGACATATTCCGAAAAAACAGAACCAGAGAATGTTGGATAGCCCTTTTATTAAAATAGAGCAAATAATAAAGTGAAAAAATAAATAAAAATCCAAATGTGACAGCTAGAGGCCATCTTAATAAACTAAAATAGTAGAAGACAATACCCTCCCAAAACCTGTCAGTATTAGGGAAAATCCTTTATTAATTGCTACGGTCAATAGTTAGGGTATGTCTACAAAATATCTCATATAGGGTAAAGCTATAATACCAAGAGCAAGATAGCCAGGGCTTAATAAGATCCAAGTCAAGGATTTCTTTAATTGCAATACCACAGGGGTTGTCTATCTTTTGAGCTGCTACTGTGGCAAACCATATATTGGGAAAACCTTCAGACCTTTCGCTCACTGTACGCTCAGTGAGATATAAAAATGATACACCATCGCGAGACACCTTTTGGAACACCATTCTGGTTGATCAGATGCATTACGCTTTGCTGGAATAGAACATGTTAAACTTGATCAAAGGGGTGGTGACTTGGATCGTCTTTTGAGATAAAGGGAGTGCTATTGGATCTACAGACTAAAGACCCTAGCAACCCTAGGCCTTAACAAAGGGTTCACATACCACTCCCTTCCTAAATCGATTCTAGCCTTCCCCTTAGATGATTACGTTTGCCTCTACTAAATAATTAATCAGTTTTTCTGATTAATGTATTAATCAATACATTTTATATACAGTATTCAGCACTCTCCCGAACTACTCCACATATTGGGATAAGTTCTTCTCTCATTCTATCTGTGTTGGTATAGTTTAAATATACTCCTTGATATTTTCCTGGTCTTTATTTCCATAATTTATTCCAATAGTCTTCTATTACAATTTAGACATGGAGCTTTGTATGTGTGATTTATTTTAATCCATTATTATTTGTTTCAATACTGCTTTACCCCCTAAATGCCTTATATCTTTCTAATAATACAGGCTGTATGAATTTATAGTATTGTACTGTAATTCTATCTTTGGCCGTACCAAGTATAACCTCTATACACTTACCTGCAATTCTTATGAAATATCCCTCTCCCATGTTTCTACCATGAGGGGATAAGTTATGTATTTAATTTGCATGATAGTGCTTTCACACCTATTTCTGTCTCATTATGTTTGTGTATAGACTTAGAACTTGTTCACACAATAGTCAATCTTTTATGTCCTGCATGGTGGAAATACATCCATGCATCCTTGTTGCAGCACATCCCACAGATGCATTATTGAAGTGAGATCTAGGGACCTTGGAATCACCTTGAACTCTTTGTCATGCTCTTCAAATCATTCCTGAACAGTGTGACATGGTGCATTATCCTGCTAAAAGAGGTCACTGCCATTAGGGAACACCATTGCCATGGAGAGGTTTACGTGATCCGCAACAATCTTTACGTAGGTGATTTGTGTCAAAGTAACATTCACAAGAATGCCAGGACCCAAGATTTCCCAGCTGAACATTACCCAGAGCATAACACAGCCTGTGCCAGTCTGCCTTCTTCCCTTAGTGCTATGCACTATGTGTTCTGACACATTTCTATCATGGCCAGAATTAAGTTTTTCAGCAATTTGAGCTACAGTAGGTCTACTGTGTGACTAGACCAGATGAGCTAGACTTCACTCCCTACGTGCATCGATGAGCCTTGGGTGTTCATGACCCTGACACCAGTTCACTGGTTTTCCTTCCTTGCACCACTATTAGTAGGTATTAACCACTGCATACTAGGAACACCCCACAAGACTTGCCTTTTAGGAGATGCTCTAACCAAGTCATCTTGCCATTAGTATTTGGCCTTTGTCAAAGTCACTCAGATATTTTCGCTTGCCCATTTTTACCTTGCATTTAGACATGGTTTGTATACTTATGGTTCTACTAGACAAAATCTCATCTTTACCTTGGACTTTCTTATTTAATTTTGACTATTCAAAATCTCAAACCAAGAACACTGAAGAGTTTATTTACTAAATTCTGAATTGTAGAGTATTGCAATCTGAATGACATCTGATTAGTTAGTCTGCAAAATTCTCAAGTTCATTATCACTTGATCTTTTATAACCTGTATTGTTTAGTTTGCTTCTGTGTTTCCGACTGGTTTACTTGACATGTGTTATGTATTATGACCATAATACCCCTTTGGATTGCTTATGATTATTTCAATGGCTGCACTTCATGTCTCTGGAACTCCCTGTGTTCTCTGTTTCTCTCCCTCAAAGGTCACATTTTTAAAGAGGATTACTAATCTTTCAACTGAAAACCACACTCATATCCCTTTAATATCAAAATATAAATACTCCCCAGCATGGAAAGGATGTGTACTCATCCGATTCCAGCTCCAATTTCCCTTGGCACTGGATCATAGCACTGCCTCCTCCAACGTCATCCAACGGTGTGGCTGATGCTCATGCATGGTTTCCATGCTTTTTACGAGGATTAAACTGATGCTGTATGTCCTCATGCAGAGTGTGAGTGGTCTAGGTGCCTATAGTGTCCCTTTAATTGACTCACTAAATAACTGACTATGATCTTGATTTAATTCTTCTGGCCAAAAACAGTTAAACTTTTTTTTTCTAATTCTGACTGAATTTAACCTTGATGGTCATTTAAAAAGAAACAAAACAAAAAAAGTCTGTGCTGGCAATATAACCCCATATTTGTATTTGGATGTGGGTATGTCTACTAAAGAGTCAGTAACTAGAGCTGCACACTCTAGTAATAAAGTAGAGCTGCAAAGTCACTATAAAGATACAAGGGGCCTGGCATAGGATTACCCCATAAGCCCCAGCCATGGGCATCTGGTGGTGGATGTAAAACAAAGAATGGTGGGTGTACAAATCACTATCCACCTCCCATGCCACCACAATAGGGCAATATTAAAATAATAAAGCGGGTGGACATGGTGCTCTCACATGCTCCTCCCATAATAAAAATAATAAACCAAGGGGGATAATCCCATGCCCCCACCCATAGCCAGAAGGCGGGAGATGTAATATTAATAACCCAGGTGAGCCTTGCGTCCCTCCCAGCTACCAACCATTGGTTGTGGGTCGGGACTATTAATTTAATATTTAACAAGAAAAAAAAAAAAAGGATGGTTGCACTGAGCTTGGGTCAGCAAATCCCATAAAATCTATACAAATGAAATAAAAATCTCAGGCACTCACTGTGATATCTTCAAGGCAGTTTTATTGGGTCTGCAACGTTTCGACCTGTAACCAGGTCTTTATCAAGCTAACACCACAGTGACAAGAAAGCATTTTTATACACACATAATAATCAATTAATGTGAAATTACAAACTTAATTAACAAAACAAGTGATAAAAAACAGAGGATCAGATAATTTGATTAATACACTCATTAGATCTATGTATAAGTACCTTAAAAGACATGAAACGGAATAAGCAAATACATGGGATATAAAAGAGATTTGAGAAGGAAAGAAAGATTAAGTAGAATCCATGTATTAGTGCAGACCAAATTAGGCATTATAATAAACACATACCTCTTCCTTGTGATAGGAAGATATAGGTAAGTATATAAAATCAAAAGGATTGAATAATTAATGACAGATGTCAATACTTGCATACCTAGCACTTTCAAAAAACCACAGAGTGATTGAACCGCCTAGCGCACGTTACATGCGTGATTACATCAACCAAAATGTTAAATGGAAGCCTGTAGTGGCCAATAAGGGTAAATGCGCTTGGAACCAGAGCGCATGTGCAAAAAGTATAAAACCGCGCATGTGTACACCGCTCAGCAGTGTATACAGCGCATGTGTGAGGAACGGTATAAAGGAATGTGTACACAGGAGGAGAAAGAAAATGTAATAGCTCTAATACACCTATGTAGTGGAATCCCCTACACCACTAAAAACACATAAACATACATACAAAATAATAGGTGGAGCTGTAAATTCTTGAGAAATCTGTAAAATACAAATACAATACAAAATAGCGTAGTATGTCTGTAATTGACAATGAAACAAGGATAAGAAGTAGTAAAACTCACAAGGCTGGAGTCATACCGTCATATGACTCTGGAGGTATACGTCTCTGGACCATTGAGGGTTGTCCAGACCCTTTTGTTGTCAGCTTTTTGGTCTTCCCCCTTTTATGTTCCTTAATCGGTCCCCAAGAAGTACTTGGTAAACGGGTGGTTCTTCAATAATAGTATATATTTATTAGAAAATAACTGGTGTAAAAATTATTTTTAAAATATCCATATATCAGATAATGCTGAATATAGGAATACAGTACAATGCATATGCAAATGCAAAATTGGAAAGTGTCCAATGAATGTTCAAAAAGTCCAAAACGCGTTTCACCTGTTTAACAGGCTTCCTCAGTTGGCTATAATCTTCTTTTTCCTCCTTCTTGTCCTTTTTATAAACTTGGTTTGCCGTTTTTTTCGCCTCCTTCCATCACTTCCGGGTTTTTCGCGTCTGGAACGCAACGTGCGTTCCACCCCGGCAACTACTTCCGGGTCACCTAGAGAAGGGACGCACGTGCGTTCCAGCCGCTAGCCGAACTTCTGGTTGACCTCTAAATGGAACGCACGTGCGTTCCACCTGCCCCTTTTGTGTCCTTCCTCATTCACGATCATTTTGCTAGATCGGGATGGTGCTCTATTGGAACGCACATGCGTTCCACCAATGCATCTACTGAAAGAGGGTATAGATACAGGTATATAATGTAGGACAACATCTAAATAAAAGTATGCAAATGCAAAGTATGCAAATTGTTATAAATCACATATGATTATAATCTAGGTGATGTATATACTCAATTTAAAATTACAGTTCATGCAGTAGACATACATAAATACATAAATGGTATATACCCAATTTCAAATTCATGCAGTAGACATGCATAAATACATAAAGTGCAAGTTAATTGTGCAATATAGTATAGTGCCAGAGAGATAGAAATTATTATAAATTTTTCCTTATATAACAGAGCATAGTGCAAAAATGTAAAGCCTCTTTACATATCAATGGGGTGTATCTGATGTTCAATGGACGTTATTTGTAATTTTAAAGCCTCTAAAAATCTTTAAGGGATGCTAAAATGTTAAATACTCATAAAATTATTTTTAATAGAATAGTACGCAATGGATAAAAAAGGAATGGTATTATACTAAAAATACATATGTAATATTGAGAATTATTTTAAGAACTACTTCATAAAATGGCATAGTTCAAAATCGTTGTTAAGACCGTGTGGTGTCATAGTGTTAAAGTTAAATATACATCGCATTTCTTCTTTCCCTATTTTATTCGCATAATCCCCTCCTCTCCAATCTTTTTTTACAGATTTAATTGCACAAAAGAACATTCCTTCTGGATTCTGTTGGTGCATCATTTTGAAATGGTTGGAGACACTGTGTGTTTCCACCCCATTTTTAATGTTTCTTATATGTTCCGCTATTCTAGTATTTAAATTACAGATTGTGCGTCCTACATATAAGAGGTTGCATGGACATTTCAAGATATAAATAACTCCTTTCGAATGGCATGTTAGATGGTCTTTTATGACAAATTTTCTATCTATATACGGCTCTAGATCTATTAAATGCCTTTTTCTACTTTTAGTATTTCTGCATGCCAGACACTGTCCACATCCATAGAAACCCTTGCTCATAGAAAAGAAGTTGTTTTCAATTGTTCTTTCCTTATTGCTACTTTGAACTAGAGAGTTTTTTAAGTTTTTTGCTCCTCTAAAGATAATTTTAGGTTTCTCTGGTAGCAAATTTTTTAATATTGGGTCATCTTTTAGGATGTGCCAGTGTTTTTTTATAACTTTATTTATTTTTTTATTATTGCCATGGTAATTACATACAAATGGGATGTCTTGGTTCCAATTTAAATCTTTCTTTTTCTCTTTATATGTCAAAAGTTCCATTCTATGTGTTTGTTGGACATTACTTAGAGCTAATTGGAGAGAGGTCTCATCGTATCCTTTCTCTAAAAATTGTGTTTTGATTTTATCGGCTTGTGTTAGATAGTCCTGTTCATTTGTACAGTTTCTTCTTAATCTAAGGAATTGTCCCTTGGGAGCATTGCTCAACCAGGGGATGTGGTGGCAGCTCTCTCTCCTAATATAGCTATTAGCGTCTACATCTTTAAAATAATTTTTCGTAATGATTT